CTCCAACAATAGTTTTCCTTTGATCTTCAAATCGATTAGTTGAAGGCATGACCGGATAATCTTCAGAGTAGGAGTCATCTTCATATGTCTCCTAGTTGGCAGCTCATGAAACTGATAATGTCACCTCCCATACTAGTACAGATCATGTCTGGTTGTCTCAGACTCCGATTTTTCTGGAACCATGTAATCAGCAAGAAAGTACACTTGGTAACAAATTTAGTATGCGGCTTGTTTGTAGTTTAGAAGGGCGGTTGCTGTACAATTGATGTGTATGCTTGTGATGTCTCAATGTAAAAGACGTGATGTTCTTCCATGGAAGCTTCTAAAGATCTTTGGTTCAGTTGCAAAACAACATCTGCTTCTCTGATACTTTTTTTAGGAAAGAGGCCACATCTGCTTCTCTGCTTATCTGATACAGTACTTCTTAATATTGTTGAGCTTTCCAACTGCGTGAAGAATCAATTTGATTTTTTTTTGTAATTTTTGCTAAAGTCAGCAATGGGCAATCACACAACAGTTAGATTAGCTGATACAAGAGCACAACTTGTCAAATTCCTCAGCTTGTTTAAAACAGAAGCTCGGTAGTACAGAGCGACCTGGAGTAGTAGTACAGAACAGAGGAAAAGCGAGGTAGACGAACTAGCCTTGGGAGGTCCATCCGATATATTAAGCTAGATTTGAAGGTCTGTTTTGCAAATGTACCAACAGCTCCCCTTACAGATGCATCTTGCCCCTTGATTTCGAATCTAATGGCCCATAACCTGGTGGTGCACCTGGTGCATGAGTCCGTCCGTTTCACAGGATACGTTCTCCCAATCGTCCAAGAGACCAAGGTTCGAATCCCGCATGCTCTTTTTTCTTCACTATTTAATTTTAAGTGTGCGGGAGTGTGCTGGCATGTTACTGTAGACTCTTGCAGTGAGAGTTGCTTCCATCTCACTTAATGCGAGATATAGCTCCCTGCAGTTTGCCACATTGAGCGGTATATAGGGTTTCGCCTCGTTCGACTGTCTTTCTGCTTGATCACTATTTTTGCTGTTTTATTTCATTGCTGCTTGTAATATCATGAATTTGAAAAACCACGGATTTGAATAAAGTCCACGGATTTGAATAAATTCCATGAAAAAGTTCGGGAATTTGAGTAATGTTGTTCGTGAATGGAAAAAATTCACAGATTTAAAAAATGCTCTGAATTTGGATTTTTTTGTGGATTTGAATATTTTTCATAAAAAATACAAAATCATGATTTTTTTAATATAAATTTGTAAAAAAGAAGAAAAATATAAACAAAAACAAAAAACAAAAAGGCGAACACTACCTTGACCTAAAAGAAGCAAATAAACAAGTAACCGGTAGATAAAAAGAGTAAAAGACACAAAAAACCTGATGGAGGAACATCCTAGAGACGTTCCCAAAACCAGAAAAACCGAACACCGTTTGCGCCATTACATGGGCCGCCCGCTAGCGACCTAAGCGTGTGCGAAAAGCTAGTTGTGCTAGCGACCTAACTGGGACAGGACGCAAGAGCATGCAAGGAAGGGTTGTGTGTGGTGCTGAAGCTCGCCAGGATGCTACCATGACGTGGATAGCAACCGTGCGGCTCCGGGAAGGGCGAAAAGTACGCCGATGATGAGCTTCCATGGTGGCTGTCGATGACACTATTTGCTAGGGCTCTAGGAGGCACGGGAGGTCACGGAAGAAGGGACATAAAGACGAGGCGCTCATCACGAGTATTCCACAAAGGTCGTGGTCGGTTGCGAGGCATCAGACCGAGGCCATGGTCGGCAACAATGGGCAACGGAGTTGTGACTCATGGTGACTTGGGCTCGGCAGGGCTGGCCCTGGGCCAGGGCAGTAGGGGCAACGGCCCGGGCCCAGCCAAACTAGATGCCCCGACCCAACATACAACCATATAACATAGGCCCAATATTGATGCGAAACAAAAAGGCCAACGAGGCCCGTATATGATATGTCTAGAAGAAGCCCAAAAGCCTAATACGCAACTCACGTGATTGCGCGGCGCCGGATCCTAAAAAAAAATGTGATTGCGCAGCGCCGGATCCTAAAAAAAATGTGATTGCGCGGCGCCGTGGCGGTTTGCTTGATCGCCTCTCCAATTTCTCTGATCCAATCTAGCGACCTATATACACATGTATGATCAAGGCCGCAAGGCCTCATGGTGATTACTTTGTCTTTGCTTTTGCTGGAGAATGGAGCAGATCAGCACCGAGTTACTCCATCGCACTGGCTTCCGGCTTCTAGCACAGTAGGGCAAGGAACGGTAGAACAACCGAGGTGTTTTTTGTGTGAATTATTTTTGTCCTCAATCTCAATTTGGAGTATTTTTTATTCCTGTAAAAGCAACATTTGTTGGACTTTATATATATAGCTGGACATTGTTGTTGCTAATTTAATCCAGTCTCCAGCATTCAGGTGTCGCCCTCGCTTCTTTATTGGCAAACATGTTGCCTGAAAAACACTTGTCTAGCTGTGAGAAGAAAGACAGTAAAGGAGCAGATAAATTAACTATCATTAATCTTGATAATAAATAAAGATGGCCTTATGCATCGATTGATGCAGAGGCCGGGGGGCTTAACCTCCTTTTCCAAAAAAAACATTGATGATTTTTGAATATAAAAAATGCACGGAGTCGTTTCTCATGATTATTAAAGGCATTTGTTTTTTGTTGTGCTCTGTAACTTATTGATATTTGATCTAGAACATAAAAGTACAACACTGTTACCAAATATTATCCACCTGAATTTTGTTATCATTGTTTATTATGGCTTTACAATTTTCTTTTCATATCAATGTATGGAATCTAAAAAGAAAACACTTCGACCACTAGGCTCATTTATCAAGTTCGCCCTAGGGCCTCCGAAACTTCAGGGCCGGCCCTGGGGCTCGGGGATGCCCAACTACCAGGAAGGGACATCTACGGTTGCAGGAGCGCATCTAGAGAAGGAGAAGCGGAGCAACTGATGGGGCATCTGTCATTGATTCCTTCGGTGGGAATGCTCGTGAAGGAGAGGCGGAGCTAAAGGGCAACGTGGCTAGCTTCAGGTTGGTCGATGGCCACGAGATCAGTGGCGGATCTACCATTGGGGCGAGGTGGGGCGGCCGCCCCGGGTCCCCGCCGGCGGAGCAACGATCCCCGCCTACCTATCGTCCGGTGGCCGTCTGATTTCATGGCGGCGGCGAGCAGTTTCCATGGAGGCGGCTTGTTTCTTGTTTCCACGAAGCAGTACGTGAGGCAGGGCTGGGTGAGGGAGAGAAACGCGTTTGGGCTGGGCTGCAGCAATGGGGCTAACCTGTAGCATTTGCACAATTGCATTTAAGGCCTAAGTGATCGAACGCATGCTGCCGGATACGGAACATCCATCCAGCTCAGCAGTACTGAATGGGTTGATCTCCTACTGTCAAAATCAGTGATAAGCAGACTATGGCACATTTTTATACTTTGCGGAAACGTAGAGGCCATCTAGCTTGACAACCTCGTGTTCTTTGTACAACTATA